CAGCAGCATCATTCCCTATGCTGCTACGGCGGGCCTCGGCATCTACATTTATGATGTGCGACCCGAAGTTTCGGCCGTTGATGAATCCTTGCTGAAGTTCGTGAACATGCTGCTTTGCTGCTCTAGCTAGGTGTGAGTTGGCGGTCTGGGCAAAGGCTCACCTGCCGGCATGCCTTAAACTGAGAGGACGGAGGCAGCTGGCATCCCCCGCGCATTCAGTGAGATAGTGAGGGTCTTCACTTTTGGGGACGAAGGCAAAGTTGGAATGGTTTAAACCTTGGACAGGGCCCACCCCCGAGAAAATCCGCAACAACACCTCATGTAGCTCATCTGTGGCAGCTGGAACGGCCCCCCACGCTGCGCGGGGGAGACGGCCGGGGCAAGGGGAGGAGGCCCTCCGGCGTTTTAATGCTCTGGCGAGATCTGCCGGGGAGGGGAGGTGTGGTCGTTCGGAGGAATTAACGGCAGGTGGGTGACGAAATATTCAGACATCGCAACCTCAGAACTAGTGGCCTCGGCGAAGATCGGCCGCTAGTGCCGTTTGAGGATGTGGGCCATGGGCGACGGGTCGCGCTCGACAGCGATGGGGCCGCCCTGCGCGTGCTTCAGGCCACTGAGCAAAAGACGCCGCCAACCGGGATTCCACGCCAATGCTTGCCACGTTGAAGTCTGCTGGATTTCCATGTGCTCCGGCACCTTAGTTGGTGAATCGTTGCCTCGGGCAGCCCGCGGACGGCGACCTGCGGCTGCAGCAGCCAGCTGCGCCACCTCATCGAACCGCTGCTGGTTGGCGAGCATCACCAGGTCGCGGCACTCGGCGGAGTCAGCGAAGTAGACCAGGCTGTCGTCGCCGACCCGCAGATATTGTTCGGCGAAGACAGGGCTGCCTCGAAGCCGATGAGCAAGCCGCGCGTCTTGGAGCCAGACCGCCCGAGCGATGGCCCGAAGCGTCACGCATGCGAGCTCCGCCGCCCCATTGCCGGCAGGCGGCATTCCTGCATCTCATCGCGGGCGATAGCAGCAGCTATGTGCATCAACTCGCCCAAGCGCGCCCACTTGCCACCGGCGTCGCATTCGCGGCGCCCGTCGGCGTCGATGCAGCGCTGGAGCACCTCGCGGAACCTCGGCAGCTTGAAGATGACGGCAAGGATCGGGCACGCGTCATGGCTTTGCGGCTTCGTCGGCGCCAGCTTCATCCTGATGATCGCATGGTCCGAGAGGGCCCGGTCAGAGAGCCGCGGGGCCTTCTGCGCCGCGTCGAGAGTTGTGTCGCAGTCAGTGATGAAGTGCGACCTCAGGGAGATGAAGACACGGTCGATGGTGCTGAGCGTCTCGGTGTTGCGGTTGTAGTGCGTCGGTAGTGGGCCTCCCAATTCAAACATCCCGCGCGCGAGCAGGTCGCGCCAAAAATGGTTCAGCCTGAGACGCCCTGCCATCCTGTCATCGCCGAGCCTGCCGCCGTTGAGGAAACATAAGGGATGGGTTGACAGCGTCGCTCGCATTGCGGTCGCAAGCAGCAAAAAAAGGGGCAAGTTCGTCTTGCCTCGCCCAGGGGACATTTTGAACCCATCGCTGACGCGTGGACTGCCGTTGAGAGCGAGAGACGCCGTAGTTGTGGACATTCAAGTATCGCACCTCCTTGTGAGTCGTGGGGTTTCGAACAGACACGCGTTGAATGCGACCAGGAACAGGAGCATGGTGCGCGAAGACAGGTTCATGTCCAGGCTGAAGTTGCTGGGCGATGTCTTCTGCGTGCCAGGCGAAAATGATAGCGGGGCCGCCCTCGCTGGAGCGGCTGTCATTCTCGACAGATTCCTCGGGGCAGCCAGAGTAGAACAATTTAACTGGTTCAGAAGCGTTGAGAAAGTGCGCTCATTGCCGCGCGTCCCCTACAGCAATATGACATGCCGAGAGTAGAGTAAGCGCTTGATCTGGAGAAACTAATGCAGGCGAATTTGGCGATTTAAACATCAAAGACCACGTGCGCTCCAACAAGCAACTCCAAGCTCGTGAGAATCTCCTCAATTTCCTTGGCAGCCGCCGTTTGCTAGGACAACGCCCATGCTGAAGTGCCCGCGCCCTGGAACTGTTGCTTGCCATTCCCCGCGGACGACTGGGCGTCGATGCCGCGCTGCGCCGGCCCTTTAAGAGACCATGCGAGCTTGGTGGCTTCATTGGCGCCCTGGGGCTGAACTTCGGCGATGGGAACTGCGTCGGCGCGGATAAGACCTCGAGCCCGCAGGGGTCGCCAATCGCGTAATCTGCGCGTGCCCGCTGAAGAATGCCCAACGGCCTCTTGCCCTGCAATTCGCGTCGAACTTGCTTTGGGGATTAGTCGGGGCTGGCATGGAGAGCGCCAGCGGCGCCGCTGACAGCTAGCGCCGCGAGGCGCATCCAGGCGCCGCCAGGGTGCTATAGGTGTTGCGCCAGCCGAACAGCCCGAGCAACACCAGGAGCGCCCCCGCGAAGATGCAGGTAGAACACCTTGCCAGGCGACTGGCCGCGGAAACAAAATTGGTCCGCTTACAAGCCCGCGCCCTGGATCCACTGCGCAAAAGCCGCTCATGATCTCCGTGTCGGCCGTCGGGCGGGCGCAGCCGATCCTGGAGATGCAGGGGTCGGGGGGTCTGTCGCGCGCGGCGAGCCGCGCGAGGTCCACGGCCCCGGCCTCGGCATCGCGAGTTTGGGCCAGCGAGCGCTGCGCCGCATGCATGCCGGGGCGAAGAGCGCCCTGCCGAGCCTCCATAGCAGCGGCGCGCTCCTGCAGCTGGCGAACCTCAGAGCCGCGAGTGTCCAGCCGGGCAGCCTGAGGCCGCAGGGGGCCCACCGCCGCGTCCCGCGCGTCGTTGCGCGCCTGGCCCATGATCGAGTTGACCCCAATGCGGACTCAAGCCGTCTGCTGCGTGAAGGCGGCAGCGACAGCGGCCACGATGAAGACAGCTGGCGACGCCGCGCCAGCGCCAGGGGCGGCAGCTGCAGGGCCCGCAGCGGCGCTCCAAGCGGCGGGCCAAGGATCAGTCAGCACGGCCTTGGAGTGGGTCAGCAACGCGAGGTTCGCCCAGTTCGCCGTCGGGGAAGGTCGCCGCGAGCTCGGTGTGACGAGTCATGGCTGGCGCGAGAAATGGATGCGCCTCCGCAGCGCCAGGGCCACGGTGGCCGCCGCGAGCATCAGAAGGAACGCTTGCACCGCGGCGCTGAGCTGGGAGTGGGGCGCGGCCACCACGCCGAGAGCTCCCGCTGCAGGAACGCGACGATGAAACATCCGGATCTTGGCGACGACGGCGGCGCTGATCCTTTTTGCGGCGGCGGCGCGCAAGGCGGCCCCGAGCGGGGGGGGCCCTGCTGCTCCTGGAGGGGCCAGAGGCCCCATCGCTCGGCGCGTGCCGCGGGCGCCACAAACAAATGTGTAGGTAGTGGCGGCGTCGGAAGAGCGGCGCCTGCAGCCTCTGCGCGGGTCGCCGCATGCGCTCGCCGCGATCGCGAGAAACAAAAAGCCGCCGCGGGGCAGCTCGCCTCGAGCCAGCCCCTTGAGCCAAAATGGCCATGGAAGAATGGGGGGGGAGGAGGAGGAGGAGGAGGAGGAGGAGGAGGGGGGGGATGAGGACAAGCTAGGTGCGCTCGCGTCATATCTGACATCCTACCCCCCCCCCCCCCATCCCTTACCATGGCGAAGACCCCCTCTCTCTCTCTAATCGCTCAGTCGGATGTCGAGCAGGGCAATGATCCCGAAAGGGTACGCGACGCATTGTAGAGCGCGGCATGGCATGGCGTTGAAGAGCACCGAAAAGCGCAGTAGCAACCTAGCATTGCATTGAGTGCCGTGGCGTGGCGCGGAAAATGACGCCAACGCTGCAGCGGGAGCGCGAGTCGAAACGGGCGGAAGCGCGGAAATTATGCCAGCGCTGCCGCGGGAGCACGATTCGGAACGAGCGGAAACGCGGAAATGAAGCCAGCGCTGCAGCGGGAGCACGATTCGGAACGACGGGGCCCGAAAATGAGGCCGGCGCGTCAACGGGAGCAGCGCGTTGAAAATAATGCATGCGAAAACCCAACTCCGGGGAAACCTGCGTGTAAAAAAACAATGCGCGGGGGGGGGGTCGGCCATTTTCAAGCTGTCATCAGGGGAAAAGGGGAAGTAGTATTCATATTGGTATTGGGTAATTATAAAAGAGGAAGAGGCGGAGGGGGGGTGAGGAGCGGGGGGGGGGGGGGAGGAGGGAGGGAAAGGGCGGGGTGGGTGGGGGTGGGGGGGGGGGTGGGGGGGGGGCGCAGGGGGAGGAGAAGGAGGAGGAGGAGGAGGGGGAGGAGGAGGAGGGGAGGAGGAGGAGGAGGAGGAGGAGGAGGGGGAGGTTGGAGTGTCTACGGGGGCGACGTCTCCACCCGCATCTGCGCCCGACGACGGCGGGGCCTCCTGCGGCCGCCGCCGGGGGGCAGCTCGACCGCCTGAAGGGCAGCCCTCGCGAGCGGGTCACCTCCGCAGAAAACAAGGCCGGCTGGGATTTGCTCTCACGGCGGGCAATGCGGCGCAGCTGAAACTGAACAGAAAAACAGTGTCCTTGAAGGCGTCGGGAACGGGGTGGGTCAGTCCCAGAGCAAAGGGGGGGCCCAGAAAGGGGGGGCACGGGAAGGTCGGCATTCAACTGCCTGCGGGCGATCATGCACATGGGGCAGCTGTGGCGGAAATAATGCCCCAGCGAGTCCCGAGCCACAGGGCGCCCCCAGAGGCAACCACGATATGGGTCATGCATCCTCGACTCCGCGACCTCCCCCCCCAAGTCCCATGCAAACGTTGCGCCGCGAGGGCGGTCGATCGTCGCGACGTCCGAGGCGCGGGCCCCAAGCCAGCGTTGCAATCTACAGGTCGGGCTGCACCTGTTGATGTCGAAGCCGTGCCGTCGAGGTGACAAGGCTCCGGTGCGGCCAAAGATGGCCGCCCTTCGTGCTCAGCCACGAGGCCGGGCTGCCCGGGGCGGGCGCCCGTCGTCGTCGTACCTGTGGTCCCTGATGACGCGGTCGACGAAAACAGCCCACTCCACGAGCTGCCGGTCGACCTCTTTCCTGTCGCCCAACGCCGTCGGCCACAGAAGCCGGCGTTGCAAACCATCATGGGGTCGCTGGCGCGGACGGTGCCGGAAGCGGCTGCTCCCGCACTCCCACGCCACGTGTTCCCAGGTGCCCATCTCGACAGTGCACCACGGACACCGGCCGAGAACCAGGTCGCCCCTGTGGTAGTGTGCTGGGCTCACCACCGCGCCGGCGAAGACTCTCGCAGCTGCTGGTATCTCTTCCACAAGCTTGAGCATGCGCTTGTACCTGAGCGGATCGTACTCGGCGTCGTCGCACGCCACCGTAGCCCGCCGGCTCCCTTTCATGAACTCCTGGAAATTGGAGAAACGCCAGGCTTCCCGAAGCAGGTGCGCCACCTGTCCCGGCTCTCGCCACTCAGGGTGGTCTCGCCGGAGCGTGATGGTCTTCTCTGTTCCGTGGTGGCTCCACACCCACTCGTCCACGCACCGCCAGCCTGTCCACGCCAAGTGCTTTGTCAGTACGCCTGACCAGCCCGTGGTCTCCTTCCACGGCAGCTCCCCTGTGGGGTCGTTCCCTGCCAGGCCCTTAGCAATGGCGCGAACTACTCCAAGAATGGCCTCTTGCTGGCACCTGTACCGCACGTCAGAGCGATGTCCCAAAATCAACAACTTCAAGGGCCGCGGCGCGTGAATCGGAAAATCGATAGCTCTGTGCACACGGCTTTGAATCTGATTGGTGGCCGGGATGTTCGGCGTGTCGCAAACCCAGCCGTACTGAGCAGAAGCGAGAGGCCCGGCTTCCACCACCTGCTTCCTTTCTCTCGGCGGGAGTGGCAGAAGTGCTGCCTTGGCCGTCTGCTGGGAGGCCTTTTCGAGCCTCTTTATCTCCTTGCGGCACTTCTTCCTCCTTTTCCCTCCCGTGATCTTCATGCCCAACACCTCCAGCTTGTCCGCCACGGCGTCTGGCGAGACATGTTTCTGAAGATTCCGGCGGCCAGCAGGGTCTCGGTGGCTCCACTGCTCCTTCAGGGCGTTTTCCTTGAGCCCCAGAGCAGCGCTCCAGGCTCGCCAAAGCTGCGCCGCGGCCAGGAGGTCCTCCAGGCGGCGCGCTGTCCACGTCCTGTCGTCGACGAAGACGGCAGTGGTGACGTTGGGCTCCCTCTCCTCCAGCTCCCGCAGCGGCCCGGCGAGCAGACATGTGAGCGCCAGCGGGCTCCACGGATCCCCCTGGGGGAGGGAAGTGCGCACTTCCTGCGCCTGCGGGTGCGTGATCCCGGCGAGTTGCATGTAGCGCTCCTGGTTTTCCCATTGCTGGGTCAGCATCGCCACGATGGCCTTCGGCATGCCCGCCTGCTGCAGCGCGACCGCGGCGCACGCGGGCTGCACTGTGTCGAAGCAGAGAGAAAAATCCCAAGATGTGGCGTATTCGCCCTGTTCCATTGCAACGATAATACTTTGGACAGCGTCGTTCACAGAAGCGCCCCTTTTGGCGCCGAAGGCACGCTCTGGCCACCACCGCCGCTGCCATTGCCTGCTGGCCGCGCTGTGGAGCCGGCTCCCTGCCCACAGCCGATGCCGGCAGCTGCTCACCGAGATGGGTCGGACAGCTTCGGCCGGCAGTGCCTTGCCCTCGGCCACATCTTCTTTGGGCAATTGCGCTTGGCGCACTCTCTGCCACCCAGATGGGAGGGCGGCCACTGTCTCGCAGAGATTGAAGAACTCAGCGACAGCCTCTGTGGCAAAGATCGCGTCCGCCACCTCCTCGCCGGTCCACCCGTCAGGGCCTGCGCTGCTTCCACGGATCTTGTCCTGTGCAGTCCGCACGTCTTCCTTCTCGAGCGGCGCCCACGCCTCTTCCTGGTGCCGCGGGCCCCACTCCGCCACCTTGGCTCGCCATGCCGCTTCGGGAGGCAGCTCCCGGTCCCACACCTTGCGCCAGCGGTTGATCAGAAATCCCAGCGACTCCGGCATGGACTGCGCCGGTGCCTCCTCCCTGTCCTGCTCGTAGATCATGGTGTCTGGCGGGATGTGCCCCTGGAGCCAGCTGTGGGCCTTCCGGCGGGATGTCCTGAGGCTTTCCCGCCACCTCGCGAGCCTCTGCTCCTTGGCCCGGTCCCTCTCGGAGCGCAGCAGGCCCTCGAGCTCCACGATCTTGTCCTGCACAGCGTGGATCTGAGCCAAGGCGGTGTCCCCGGTCTGCACGAGGTACCGCTTCGCCTTCTCTCGGAGTCGCCTTGCCTCTGCCTCCCTGCCGGCGCCGCGCTGTTGCAGGTAGTCGAGGCGCCGTAGCCGAGCGAGGGCGTTGGCGAGCTGGCGCTCCCGGAAGGTGGCTTCCAGGCAGCTTGCGGCGCGTCCGTGCCGCACCCGCTCGAGCTGGACCTCGTTTTTCTGTAGCTTTTTGCGACCGTCCGAACCGGCTCTCTCCGGGTCCTCAGCGGCGCAATCCCACTCTGTGTCTGTGAGCATGGCACGAGCTTGGGCCATGCAGGTCTCCATGGCGTGGCTGAGTTCCGCCCACTTCTGGTCAACCAGGCGGCGGGCCTCGCAGGACCCTGGTTCGACGCCATCTGCGGCCGCATTCATGCCGCTCTGCACGCGGTAATAACCCTGCGTGTTGTCCCACAGCTTGCTCGTGATGTCCACCCACTCTTCCTTGCTCGAGGCCGGCGGCATGGCGACCCCGCGGTGCTTCGCCAAGCGCCACTCCTCTACCTCCTCGCCCTCCATGCGGAAGTCGACAAGCATCTGCACGACGATGTGGTCGCTGATCGCGTCCTCGATCAGCTCGTGGCCCGTGATCGTCATGGCCCAGCTCACCCCGTAGTCGATGCACCGGTGGCCCCTCCAGCGCGTAGGGAGGTAGTCGCCGTTCTTATCCTTGACCGCTTCAATGCAGCACCAGGCGCGCGGGGCCAGCACCTGCGTTGGCAACTGGTTCCAATCCCCGATGGCCATCCAGGACGTCAGCCTGTCGACCTGCACAACGTCGCTGATTTCCCTCATGATGGCCCCCTCGTCGACGCCGGGGACCACGTACGTGTTGAACAGCACCACGCCCTCCACGACCGTCGCCAGGATCTGCCCTTCGGGCCCTCCCCGGCTCCACAGTTGTTTGGAGCGAAGCTTCCTGCTGACAATGGTCACTACGCCGTGGATCTGCCGCGTGGTGCCCTCCGCCACATTGCCACCCTGGTGGTGCGCCCTGTAGCCGCGCTTGAACATGGATTTCCTGAAGCTCTTGAAGTCTTTCTCAGACAGTGAGGCTTCCTGGAAGCATGCCACCTCCACATTCCGCTCAGCTGCCAGCCGGGCGGCCTTCCAAAGTCCAGTGTCTGAGCCGACGTTGACAGTCCAGACGGGGCGTCGCGCGGTTACACCGCCCGGCGCACCACCAGTTTTCCTCTCCGCGCCCAGCCGTGGCGACGAAGCTCCGCCAGGAGCGCCAGTTTTCCGATCCGCGTCCAGCCGCGGCGACGAGGGGGGCCCCCGAGGGCCCGAAAAAAACGATTGCCGCTGGCTTCGTCGCGCCGGCCTCCCCTCCTTGCTCCCTCCGCGGGGCAGGGGCCCGTCGGAAGGGAGGGGGGCCGGCTCCGCCTGTCAAGAGGAGGCGGACGCTGTCGCTTGCGTCTGCGTCAGGGAGCCGTTGGGCAGGTAGCTCCTGCCAGCCGCCCGTTGCCTCCTTCTCCACTCTGTCGCGGTTTGCCACTTCACACCATGCTCCGCCTCCCGGTGGGCACGGCGAGCCTTGTCGATGATGGACCGAGAGTTGTCGCTCTGGAAGGGGAGGCTCTTCCCGCAGTCCTGGCACGTCCACGCCATCTTCGGCAGCGGCCCCATGGGGAGCTGCAAGGCTTCACGCCACTCCTCGTCGCTCAGGGCCTTGAGGGTGGGCAGCGTCCCGTTCTTCTTGTTGAAGAAGCTGCGCGGCTTGTCCGGGTGCTCCCGGTCCACGTGCCTGTTCCGCCTGTAATGCAGCATATTCGGCGTCTTCGCCGACGTGCGCCAATCTGGACAGATTGGACAGCGCCACTCGGTGGTCTTTGGGCGCGCCCTGTACTCGCTGAGGGTGCCGCCCTGTCTCTGGTAGTACGACCGCTTCACATACTTCTTGTGCTCTACCCACTCGGCGCTGCCCCTGACCAGCGGCCTCGGCGCGGCGTGGGGGGCCGAAGGGGGCTCGTCCCAGCCCAGCGGCGGGCCCGCGAGGGCGGGAGGCGCCGGCGCCGTCTGCTTGCCGCGGAGGCGCCGGCGTTTGCCACCGTGGGCGGCGACGCTCACCGAGTCCCAGCACGACCCAGTGGCGGCCACGCCTCCTGCTGTGGAGCCGGCGGCTGTGCTGCGGAGCCAGCTGCCCAGGCTCGCCGCCTCCTCCTGCTCTGCCTCATGAGCCTCCTCCTGCTGCTCTTTGCCTCTCTCCTCCTCGTCCTCCTCCTCGCCTCTTCTTCCCTTATCTTCGTCCTCCTCTTTGTCTTCCTCTTTTCCTTCGGCTTCAGCTTGTGCCTCTGCCTCCTCCTCCTCAGAGTCGCTGCCTGGCTGCAGCCATCCTGCAACCTCCTCGTCCTCCTCGTCTTCTCCGTGGCCTGCACCTCGGAGCAGCTGCGTCGCGAAGTCCTCCTCCGGGGGGTCGGCCCACTCCAGCGGCCACTCCTTCTGCCCGTCTTTCAAGTGCAGGGCGACGTAGTGCTCGTCCTTGAGGGCCACTGGTATTGGCGCACGGCCCATTGCTTTAGACCGCTTCTTCTCTATGGCGGCGTTGCCCGCCCCCTCGGGTGGGCTGATCACCCAGCCCTTCACCCATTTGCCTTGGTGCCAGTAGAATACGACAAGGCGTCTTTCAAGCCGCAAGGCCAGCACCGCCGCCGTATGCTCACATGCGTAGCGGCCTTCCCGGGCAGTTGCGTCCACCCACTCCTGGTAGGTGGCGGGGATGGGCCCGCCTTCTCAGCGAACCGACGCGTTGGGATCCGCCACCCAGACGCCCTTGAACAAGCTGTGCTTGCGGATGAGGCCCGTGGTCTCTGCCCGGATCTTCTTGCCCAGAGACGCGATGTTCTTTTCGATGTCTCCCTTTTTCCGGCCCTCCAGGGCCGCGGCAGAGGCAGCCGCAGCGCGGTGCAGGCAGTCGCCCTTCCCGCCCAGATCCCAGCCCTGGTAGCCGTAGACGTTGATGCATTTCGTCTTCTTTGCTTGGCCGCCTTGTTCACCCGGCCTCTTCTCCCCCACTTCAGGTGGAGTGGTCTTGTCCTCTGCCTTCTCCTCTGCCTTCCCTGCTGCCGGCGTCTCCTCCTTCATGGCTTCGCCCTCTTCCTCCTCCTCCTCCTCCTCAGCTGCTGCTTTCGCCCGCGGCTTCGCTGCGTCCGCCTTGGCCTTGCGCTCCTTTTCCTGCTTGTGGAGGTCCTGCCTGACGACGCCGGGCCGCGGGTTGATCATCTTCGTGGTCATGCCCTTCTGCTGCCAGGTATCGCGCACCACCGTGATGGTGTGGTTGTGGATCTGCCACACACTGTAGTCCCGAACTTCAGCGGGAGCTTTCATGCGGAATATCCACCCTTTATTCCTGAAACGGGGACGTATCAAGGATACTTCAGTCCAATCGTTCTCCGTGAAATACGTGCTCACGTCGTTGGCCCCCCAGCTAGCCGGAGTACCTGTGATTTCCCACGGCGCTGCACGATCTGGCCTGCGAGGCGCGGTGCCTGGAGGCTCTCGCCACCCAAGCTGCTGTTTGCCCCCGCGGCGGAAAGCCAGGCCATGCTGAGTGCCACCGCGCCGCAGCAGTCTTTCCAAATATTCGATGTCTGTCTCACCATCTTCCCAAGGCTTCCAATCGACCGCTGCACGGCCCGCTTGGCAAACAAGCCGCTCGGAAAATATACCTCCAATTCCTGATTGCCTCAGGAGGTCCAGAACCTTGTCCTCCTGCACCGTCGCGAAGCAGGAGCGGCAGATGTCGTCGCCCGCCTCGTGGAGACGATACCCGTATGTGCGGATGATGCCGTCCGCCTTCCACAACGAGTGAAGCGATGTAACCGGGCTCGCCCTCCACGCCGAGTCGGTCATGTACTTCTTCACCATGGTGATGCGCATGACCGTCGTCTCCTTGACAGCCGCGTCCTCCGCCGCCTTCGACCCCTTGGAGGCCTTGACCGTCTCTCCGGCGAGCTCCGGCGGAAGTCCGGCCGCAGCTACCGGGGCAACGTGCAGACTCTTGAGCTTATCTCCACGCCCTGCCTGTCCCTCCAAGCGGAGCCACTTGAGCTGGCTCTTGACCCCGTCCACCTCCTTGGCAAAGACCACGCCGATCTTGTGAGTGATAGCGTAAGACCTCGCGAGGTCGAGGATCTCGTTTACCTGGCCCGGCTTGGCCACGATAGCCTTCACCTTGTTCGCCGCCTGCGCCGGGTCCTCGGCATCCAGCAGCGCTTCGAAGGCCTTGGGTCCCAGCAGCACCTGGCCATTGGTCCAAGCCATCCTGCTCAGCCTCGGCGCCTCCTCCTCCTCGTGCTTTCTTTCCTCCTTTCCTTGACCTCTGCCTCCTCTGGTCTCCTCCTCCTCTGTCTGTCCCTCCTTGCCTCTCCCTTTGCCTCTAGCCCAGCGCCCGCCTCTTGGCGCTCCTGGCTGCGCTGCTGGTGGCTTCTCCTCCCGCCTCCTGCTGTCGCCTTTCCCTTTGCCCGCGGCCTTGCCTCGGGGCTCCTGCTGCGCTTGGGCTCCGGCTGGCTGCGCCTGCTTCTGCTTGGCCTGCGCGACCGTCTCGGTCAGCCCATTCACGAGCCTCTCCATGGTCCACTTTGCCTTGGCCGCGTCGTCCAGCATCTTGCGGAGCCGGGCGATGAGCTCGTCCAGGCCCTCCTGCTTCTGCTGCTGTCTGCGCGTCCTCCACCTCCCCCCCGGCCTCGCCGGCGTTGTCCCCGCTCCTGCACTACCCGCTTCGGAATAGCTCTGCATGAGGCCGCTCAGCGCCTTGAGGAACGTGTCCATCGAGTTCGACGGCGCTCCTCCGCCTCGCAGGGCTGGATGCCGCTAAAAATGCTGTACTGGCAGCTCCCTCGTTCCAAAATCCCCGTCTTCTCGAAAGTCACCCGGGCCTGTATGGTGATCCTCTCGTTGACGAGCTGGTGAATTATGATGTGTACCTCCTGGCTCCTCCTCGTCGCCGATCTCCTCCGTAACCTTCCCGATGTCCTGGGTGTTCGTGTCGACGGCCCCGTGGTGGAGGAAAATGTCATTGGCATCCGTAGTGTCATTGACCTCAGTCATGTCCTCGGAGCCCGTACCTACGTCCAGCTGGTGGTCGAAAACGCCATCGACATCCGCAGTGTCATCGACATCTGTCTTGCACTCGGAGCCCGTACCTACGTTCAGCTGGTGGTTGAAAGTGTCATCGACGTCCGCAGCGGACGGGCGCGGAGACGAGGAGGAAACGAGAGGGGCGATCGAGGGAGAGAGGAGTAGATGGCGGCCTGCGGGCGCGCGCGGGGCGCCGAGCTCGCGGGCGCCCTGCTGCGCCTGCCGCAGCGCCCTGGCTGCCGCCGCCGGCGGGGCCTCGCCGATGGGGGGCGCCGCTCGCTGCAGAGTGCCCGAGGTGGCCTCTGAGCGCCACCAGCTCGGCCACGGCTGTCCGCCCAGCCAGCGCGCCATCGGCAGGTGCAGCTCCGCCGCCCCCCAGAGGGCCGCAGCCTCGGCCCGCGCCGCGGCCGCCCCGGCGAGGCGCGGTTGCGCCCAGACCGAGGCCGACGGCCCGGCTGGTGCGGGTCGCCGACGGACGGGGGCCCGCGCCGCTCGCCGTCGCCCAGGAACGCGCCTGGGGGGACCGCAGCAGCTTGGGCAGCAGCGCCCTCTCCAGCCTTCTCATCTCAGTCGGCGGCTCCAGCATCTGCGCCTTGTGTCCCAGGGCGGAGACGTAGCGCTCGCCGCGGAGCAGGGCCAGCGAGTGCACGTCGGCCTCCGAGCGAGACACCTCGCCCACCCTCTCGCGGAGCTTGGCGAGGGGCACCCGCCGCTGGGAGGCCAGGTCGGCGCCCGGGCCGGGCAGCGCTCCGAGGTGCTCCAGGGCGTCGCTGACGCGGAAGCCCCGCCAGTCGCTGCAGGCCGCCGACTGGCGGCGAGAAGTCTCGGTGCTGAGGTCGTCTGAGAGCGGGGCGCCCCGGGGCGCGGCATGGCGCGTGGTCGGCTTGAGCTGCAGGCTGGCCAGGAGGGGCGCCATCTTGAAGACGCGGGCGATGGAGTTCAGCGCCTTCGCACCTCTGACCGCGGCGCCCAGGTCGTCAGCGTGCCAGCGCGTGCGGCCGCGCCCTTTTTGGCGGGGTCGCCCTGCAGGATGCCCGAGCGGACCGCGTGCAGCAGCTGGCGCGACCGAGAGGCGGCGAAGCTTTGGGCGCCGTCGCTCTTGACGCGCAGCGCAGCCCGGAGGCCAATCGGCGCCTGGGAAGCTCGGAGGGCGGCGAATATCAAGTCGCGCTCGACGCTGGGGAAGGCCTGGCCGAAGTCGAACGCCGGAGCATCGGGAAGGAGTCCAGGTCTCCGTCACTAGCGCGCATCGCCAGGATGCGCGAGAAGGTGCCGAGCTCCACGATGTCGTCGCAGATGGCGCGGCCGCGCAGGAAGCTGCGCTGCGTGGCCGCGCAACGCTGCTCGACTGCTGGCTTCGCGCGACGATTGATGGCCCGCGCGACCGCCTTCGTCGAGATGCTTTCCGGGGCCGCCAGCCGAGTCTCGCTTGAGCGGCGAACCGCCTCGATCGGGCCCTCCAGCCCGGCGCCTTCGGCAGGGGGGGCCGCCGCCGAGAAGTTCCAGGATGCGCGCGTCGGGGGGCCGGCGCGCTGCCAGTGCGTGGCCGGCGTCAAAGCGCCACTGCCCGCCAGCCAGGCCTGGGGGGCGAGGCCGTCAGGGCCAGGCATGGCCCGACGAGCAGCGCGGAGCGCCTGGGCGACGGCAGCGCGCGTCGGCGGCGGCAGGAGGGCCCAGCCGACGCCCTTGATGCCGTGCCCGTCGAGTATTCCATCCGGAGCTGGGGCTTGCGGAGCCCCCGCCGCGGCGCCCCAGGTGCGATGGCAACCGGCACGCCGCTCGCAAAGGCCTGCGCGCGCAGAGGGTCTGATGGCCCAGGGTCGGCCGCAGTGGGCGGCCGAGCGAGAAGGCGCCGTCGGCGGGCCGCATGTTCCATCGTCGACTTGGGGTCGTCGCCAATGACCCCCCGCCAGTAGTCGCCCAGCGCCCTCATCACCTCCAGCTCCGCCTTGGCCACGCCGCCGGGCAATTCGATGGCGCCGAGGAAGCGCCGAGCCGAAGAGGGGGCCCATGGCGCCGCGCGACGCCGAAGAGCACGGCGCTGGTGGATGAGGGTGGCCTTGGCGCGCCCGCTGGGCCCCCCGTCGGCCTGCCCCTGCCGACGGCGAAGGCGGGCCTTCATCTCGCGGCGCTGCGCGAGCCGATAGCGACGGGCGAACTCCGCGGGGTCGCGGATGCGCGCGCGGCGGCCCGCCGCCTGGCCCTCGAGCTCGAGGGCCTGCGCCGCCCAGGGGCGGCGATGGAGGGGGCGCTCCGCCGCCGCGACGTTTTGGCGCCAGGCAGCCCGCCCGGGCTAATTAGCGTCGCCCCCAAGGGTGGGGCCCCGCGCCGCCGCAGCCGCGCGCTGCAGCAGCTCGGCGTGAACATGGGCGTGGTCGGGGGGCGACAGCTCCTGCAGCTGGACCTGCCCCTCGCGCGTCCGCGCCAGCTTCGCGGAGCGCGGGTGGTCGAGGATGAACTCGGGGATCGGCGCGACGATGCCCGTGGCTGGGCCCCGATAGCGCGGGCGAGGAGACCGGGCGACCGACGGCGCGGCGTGGTCGGAGATGTCCTGGGCGCGGAGTTCGCGAGGCTCGCCGTGCACTCGCGCATGTTGCCGCGGCAGGGCAAGCAGCCAGCGCAGCGCGCCGATCCAGATCTCGTCAACGGTGGTGGCCAGCTGGCGGCCCTGATGCAAATTGGTGGGCTTCCCTTGCGCCGTCTCGCCGGCGGCGCAAAGGCACTGCTGCCATAAACGCCCTCGAGGGTGAAGAGCAGCGCGAGGACCGCCGCCAAGGGCGAGAGGATCCTCAACCTCGGCATTCTCCCCGCAGTTGAAGTCCCCCGAGATGATCGCGACGTGCTTGGGCGGGTCGCGCCCCATGCATTGTGGGGCCCGACGAATGGCGGCAGCAACCCGTCGAGCCTGCTCACGAGAAAGGTCATGGTCGTGCACGTTCCAATGGATGAGAGAGTAGACAGTGTCAGCCCCCGCCTCCACAACGGCACTCGCTCGCAAAACTCTGGCACAGACGTAGGCACGGTGGTGCAAAACCACTGCAGGACGAGCTCGGAATGGGAACATCGTGGCCGCCCCACCAAGCGCTTCGTCCCCCGAGTTGTCGAAGCTGGTGAAAAGCTGATCGTCCAGCCCCGTGCGACCAACCAGCGCACGCAGGCGCGCGGCCGACCCGTGGACCTCCTGCATGCCGAGAATTGCCTCTGCACAAAGCTTAGGGAGAATGTAGTCGATCTTCTTGTTGGCCGCGCGCGGCTGGTGGTGGCGGAAGGCGCGCGCGCGCGCGCGTTCCAGGTCGCGAAGCGCAGCTCTGCCTCCTTCTGCGGCTTCCAGAAGAGCCGCGCAAATTGGCTAAAAGCACCAGCACTTCCCTCTGCGGCGCCAGCGCCGCCGAAACCGCGGGCTCGAGGTCCGCGCGGGTGAGCCCAAGCTCCTGGAGGGCCGCTGGCGACCAGTGGACCTGCGGGGTGGCCGTGGGACTGGCGATGGAGACTCGAAGGATTGCGAAGACAGCGTGAAGGAGTGCGCGGCCCTGTCTGTCCCACCGCCCGCCCGAGCGCGAGAGCCAGGCGCTTGGGCAGCAGCTCGTGTGCCACCTGCTTGCGGCTCTGGTCCGCCGAGACCGAAACGTCCGCCTCATGGCCTGCAGGAGTGGTGCCGCGGAAGCGCCTCCACTCGCCGGGGCCGGGGCGCATGCAGCCCAGCGGGAGCGGCGGGCAGCCAGCTCAGGAGCGCCCCTGAAGCGCAGGATGCAGCGCTTGCCGAAGGGTTCCGCGTCGACCTGGTAGCTGTCTGCGCCCAGGCTCGCGTCCGCCAGCAGCGGCGGCGCCGCCGCCAGGAAGGTGTCTTTACGAAGGTCCTCCTTGCAGCGCAGGACCACCGCCGCCGAGTCGGGCTCCCTGTCCTGGTCGATGCCAGCAGGAGCGGGCTGCGGCCCCGTGCTCGCCAGCAGGCCCATCTCCTCCCTGAGCTTCGCCATGTCTGCACGCAGCTGCTGCTCCATGAGGGCCGTGCGCTAGTCCACGGAGGCAACCAGCTGCTCGACGGCGACGGCGCGGGCCTCCATGACCGTGGAAATCTTGGCCAGCCCCGCGGAGAGGGAGGCGTCCATGTTGCTGATGATGGCCGCCTGCAGCTGCTGGAGGAGTTGCTGTTGCGTCTGAGGAGGGTCACCAGCACCAAGCTGCGGCCGAAGACCCGGAGCAGCATCAGGGGGCCGCGGGGCCGCCGCCACCGCCGCGGCGAGCGCGGGCGGGTGTCCCCGTGCATGCGCCAGGGGGGGCCTTCCGCGGCCAGGTACTGCTGCCAGGGGTCGGGGCCTCGAGCGCCCGCTCCGCTGCTGGCAGACGTGGGGCCTCCCTGCGGGGCGCCAGTGGGGGCGGCCTGCGGCGCCTGCTGGGACAGAGAGTCGGGGAACGTCGCTGCCTCATCGAAGTCGTGGGCCGGCTGCTCGAGCTGCGCATGGGTGAAGCCACCTGCGGAGGCGGCTGGGTCCGCCCCACGGTGCGAAGCCGAGGACGCAGCCGCAGGCGGACCATCCCTCCCCGCCACACGGCCACGATCGCAAGCACGAGCACGGCGAGCGCGAGCGGCAGCACGAAGGGCACCTGCTTCATCACGAGGCTGGTGGCGAGCACGGGCAGCACGACGGGCTCCGCGGTTCCCCCCACTGCGCGATGCCGAGCGCTGCTGGCCCGCCGATGCATCAGAGGTGGAGCCGGCACGATCTGCATCTGCATCCGCACCAAGGTCGGCGATATAAATGACAGCAGGGTGCGGGCGGGCGCATCCGACAGGGCCCATGGTGATGCGAGGCAAGGGATCGTGTCCGAGGAGGCAGACTCTTGGCCCCAGCAGTGCGCAGCTCGACTGGGGTTGCCTGAAACGGGAGCTAGCCTCGGACTAGAGGTATCCGTTTCTGCCCGAGGGACAAAGACATCTTGAGCCAAAATGGCTACGGAGGAGGAGGAGGAGGAGGAGGAGGAGGAAGAGGAGGAGGAGGAGGAGGAGGAGGAGGACGAGGAGAAAAAGGCGCCCCTACGTGGGAGGCACCAGCTCGCCAGGACGGAGGGGGAGAACGATCTCCTGTGCTGCGCCCTGGCCTGCGGCAGGGGCCTGCCCAGGAAGTGCTCGGGCGCAGCTTCTGAAAAAAGGCTTGTCGGGTCGCGGCTATGCCCAAGAACAGCTCCGCAAAGAGCAGCTCGACAAGCCTCCCGGCTTCGAGCAGGTGGGCGGGCGGCGCGCGGAGGAGGTGGGCGGGCTGCTGCGGCCGAGGGGCTGCGGCGGCACCGCCCAGACTGCCACCTCACAGCGGCGGAGGCGGCGGCCCCAGGCCACGGGGGCCTTGGCCGAGTCGGCAAGGGGAATCGCTGGGCCGCGGCTGCAGCCAACCCACATGGCAGATTCCGGAAACCTTGAATCCAAAAATGTTGTCATCTCTTGAATGGCGACATTTTACTCCCGCCTCCTCCCGCCGGCGGAGGCAGCCTTCCGCCGTCGGAGGCAGCCTCGTGTTACCTCCGCCGACCTTCCGCCGCCTTCCGCCGAGGAATAGATGGCAATTCCTTCGATCCTGGAAGGCAATGCACTCTTTGGACCGCCCCATATAGTAAGGATGTGCAATAAGGATGGGAACGACAATTATCGGGACGGGAGGATGCGGTTCGGAAGGATGACCATATCGTCCGTATTATCGTGTGTGTGTGTGTGTGTCGAGCGCGCTGATTACACAGTCGTGCCCGGTATCTTCCCAACCCCATCTTCCCAACCCGATAACTGTCTTTCTGGAAGGTTGCGAGGACCTTGGACGCCCATGACGAGGCTCTTCGAGCGGGGCTGGCCATCGAACGTGGTTGAGGATGAATCAAAGATGACCCAAGAGGCAAGCATGCAAGGGTACCCTCGGGAAGTCGATCATCCTTACTATGCTGGCATTGCTGCGGCACTTTGTGTGCTCTGACTGTGGCGCTTGCGGCGTGCCTCTCCCGAGTGCTGCGCATCTCGCTTGGGGCCCATGGCATCGTTTCGCATCTCGCCCGGACTTGATGGGCAACCTTTTGGTGCCTAGTCATGCAGCGCAGTATCATACGTAAGTTGTGCTGCACTGCACTTGAAAACTGCGCAGTGGCTCGATCGTGCTGCACGACCTCATCTGCTTTCAAGCCTGCGTGTCAGCGCTCGGCACTTCGCTTTGCTGCTCAGCGGCGATTCGGAGTCACTGTGGAGCGCAGGCCGCTGCGCTGTCCTCGTGAAGGTGCTGCCACAAGGAATGCCAAGTAATGAGCGAAACCCTTTTCGGCCCAAAATCTGGCTGAGTACACGAGGTGCGCTAGAGGAACAATTATGGAATATTCTACGCAACAGCGAGCCCCTTCCGAACCCGAGCTGTGTCTGATTTCAGCGTCTTGACTGTATTGAGGGGTGTCGCAGAAAGCGAGAGCGAGAGAGAGAGAGAGAGACAAAGAGAGAGAGAGAGAGAGAAAGAGACAGAGAGAGAGAGAGAGCGAGGGAGACAACAAAACAGAGTCGGCTGCGCGCAAGAGTGGCCCTAGGCAAGAGCGACCTCTGGTGCGCGGCTCGCTGTTCTCCCCATGCGATGCGCCAGTGGCGGCCCTGCGCCCTTGGGCCTGGCTCCCCCACCCGAGGCCACGGGAAGCCGCGCAGCAAGGTCGCCCCGGCCAGAGGCCACTCTCGCGCCCAGCCGGGCGAGCTCGGTGGGGCGTCCTCGGCTGGGTCCGGGGAGCCTCGCCGGGCCCAGGAGGACGCGCGGCCTCCGGCGGCGGCCGCCGCCGTCGTCACGCAGGGTGGCGCCCGCCCCCCGCCGCTCGGGGCGCTCCCCTCCGCTCCCTGGCGCGCGGCGCAGGGAGCGGGCCGCCAGCGGGAGCGCCACAGGAGGCACGGAGGGGCCGTGCCGTCGTCGGCGGGCCTCGGCCACGAGCAGGCTCCCCGACGCGGATCAGGGGAGCGGCCCGGGGACCAGAGCCCCTCCCTGAGCCCAGAGGGGTCTGGATTCAACGTCTTGGCGGCAAACAGTATGGCCGGCTGGCCGCTTCGTGGCCACCTCGCGGCCCTCTCATGGCCCCTCACGGCCCTCCAGCGGTGCCCTCGTCGTGGCCACCCTGGCGGCTCCGCGTGCGCCCTCGTGGCTCCCTCTTCTCCTTTACCCGCTCGCGGCTCACGTACAGGCTCATTACTGATCGATGCATTGGCTGGGCCCCGTAGGACGCACAACCTTTTGCTCCACCGTCGTCTCCACAGCCCGAGCAGGTGTCTGGCTGGCTGCCGATTTGCTCTTGCGCGCTCCCTATGCTGTGCGCCCATACGGTTGGCGTTGCAACGATAGCGTGCAACGTCGGTTTCCGCAAAACACGCCGTCCCCGTGAGGCGATCCCCCCGCGAGGGCCCCGTCTGCGCACGCCATCACCCCGCCCAGGCCTTCCTCCGTGTGCACTGCCCCCAAGGTGGGGGATAGCGCGTAGCAGCCACACCGCACGCTATCATTGCAACGCCAACCGCACCCTCGGTGCGCGCGCACGCGCGCCACGCTGCACTGGCCGAGGGCCGCGGGGAGTCGGGCCTTCGCCCGCGCCGCCCTGCTCCCTCATGCGGCGCTGCAGAGCGCGGCGCTGCTCGGAGGACTTCCGGAGCTCCTGCCTGAGGGACTCTGCCTGCGCGGGCAGGCACGGCGGCGGGGGAGGACAACGTCGACGGGAGACGTCTGACTCTGATACGGCCAGGGTCTGAACGCTGGTGGAACACCTTTGAGGCTTGGCCATGGGTATCACCGCCGCCCTCAGCAGATACCTCCTGGGCACATTCCTCGACGAACGCCCCCACCGTGATGTCCTTCCCCCTCTGCGCAGCGCAGGCTTCTCAGCAGTCACAGCTGGCGGGCTCCAGACTCTCGTGGGGTCCGTATTCTATGCGTGGGGTCCGACTCGTTCGTCTTTGAATATTTCTGCAGACCGTCCAGAATTGATTACGAGAGCTGGCAGCAACCGTCCGAGGTTCGCAGGTGACGGAGCCATGGAGGGAGGAAGGCACACGGAGGGAGGAATACGCAAGGGGATTCTCTGGCCGAGCGAGGAGGGATGGGAGGTAAGGGGACAACGCGGGAAACCAATGAGAGTAGACACGAAGGGAGAGGACTCAGGGGGAAGCAGGGAGAGAAGGAGAGAGGAGGGGAAGAAGGAAAGGACACGGGCAACGCTCGAGAGTGCTGAAGGGAACTCTTCCTAACTTGGCTTGCCAATGTACGTGTTGGACGTTGCATGGACACTGCTCCTCCTCTCCGGCTGACCTGGTCTCCCTGGCGCGTGCTACCAGCAAGGGGGTCCATGTTTCGAGGGAAACGCCCGCGTTGTCTTCTAGTGTTGGTCGCCCATGGAACGAGCGCTGGGGCCTTGCCATGCTTCTCTCGCGATTCGGCCTTGAACTGACTGCGCGGGAGGCTATGAGAAGCCCAAGGCGGTTCTGGGGCCAAAGGTCGTTGGGCCTCCCGAGTCGTGTTTGGGGAGATCAGCTTCGACGAACTATTCCGCGGAGTACCGTCGAGCACAGATGCCCAGGACGGATGAAGGATGAGGGAGGATGAAAAGAGGGATGATGGGATGAGGGGGGACGGGAAGGGGGGACACGAAGGAGGAATTCGGAAGGGGAGCGAATGAAAGAGTAGACTGGAGAAGAGAGAGGAAACGTAGGAGAAAGAGAAGGCAGAGAGGAATGAGAGGACGGCAAAGGGTGTGCGAAAAAGGACAAACATGATCGGCAACGAGGGAGAGGTGGCGATCCGGGAAACGGCGACCACCAATCGAACGTTTCGTCCTCTGTAGTAAACCGTACGGCGATGTCACTGCAATCCTGTCTCGCATCGCCTTCGTTCATTCGGACTGCTTGTCTCAATCTCTCACTCTTCCTCTCTCGCTCTCTCTCTCTCTCGCCCTCTCCCCCCCGTACTTACCCTTCTCCACTTCACTGTCGCTTGTAACCGTGTACCCACATGGTTTCCAAGCCTTCTGCGCTGGATTCTCGTTTTGAACAGACCACTGTGGTCGCGTCCTCCGCCTTCCCGCCTCCACCTCTGGGTGGTCGCGATATGCGAAACTGTCACCACTTTCGACGGCTGCTGGGGGGGGGGCATCACAGTGTCGCCCCATCTGGACCCAAATCAAACCTCGCCATCCCTGTGGGGCTGCGATTTGCGAAACGGTTGTCACTTTTGAAAGCTGTTGGGGGGGGGGGAGCAGGCAACTTCCGCCCAACCCGGACTCATGTTAAACCTCGCCGTCCATGCGAGGTTTGCTGAGGGGGCCAGCACAGTGTCCCCACACCCACACTCCTCAAATTAGACCTCGCCACCCTGGGGGGCTGCGATATGCAAAACTGTCGCAATGTTCGAATGTTTCTTTGGGGGGGGAGCCAGCACAATGTCGCCGCGACCAAACTCATACGAGACCTCGCCACCCGTGGGGGGGTGCGATCTGCGAAGCGGTTGCCGTTTTCGAAGGCTGCTGGGGAGGGGGGGCAGCACAATGTCGCCCCAGGGGCCCAACCCACACTCAGATTCGACCTCGCGATCCCGGGGGGGGGCTGCGATCCGCAGAAGTGTCTCCACATTCGAGGGTTGCTGGGGGGGGGGGGGGGGGCAAGCACAAAACCGCCCCAAGGGCCCAACCAAACACAGGTTAGACCTCGCTGTCCCCGGGGGGGCTGCGATATGGAAGACTGCCGCCACTTTCGAAGGCTGTTGGGGAGGCCATCGCAATGTCGCCATACCGAGACTCACAGTCGACCTCGCCATCACTGGGGGGCTGACATCTGCGAGCCCGCCGCCACTTTCGATGGCTGATGTCAGGGTAAGCGCAGCGTGGCTATGCACACTCCCTGGGGGGCTGCGATCCGCGAAAACGTTGCTGGGTGGGGCAGCGCGGCGTCGCCAAACCCATCGTCACCCATGCGGTGCTCCGCTCGGGGCACTCTTGAGGGCCCCAGGGAGGGGGCCGTGCGTGGCTCTCATCGCGATACCTGACTGGGCGAGCCCAACTGCAGCCCATCCGCGTCGAGCGAGGCCTGGGCGCGACATGGCCCGGCCAGCCCCGCTGGTGTGTGTGTGTGTGTGTGTGTGTGTGTATATATATATATATACAGATGGCCAGGCCAGCCCCCGCTGGTATATGCAGGCCCCCCCCCCCCCACCCCCCGCGCACGCACGCGCGTCCCGCGCCAACCCCCCCAACAGCGCGCAGGGGGCGAGTCGGCCACGGCCTCTGGAACTGGCGACATGGGCGGCAGCCCGTAGCGTGCATAAAAAATCAGAGGCAGCAGCGAAGAATAGGGATTTCCCGCTGCAGTGTCCCGGCGGGGGACCGTGGGTCACGCCCGGAGGCCGCGAGGAGGACGTCCACCTCCATCCTCTGACGTCCACCACCTCATCCTCCTCAGTCCTCCGCAACGAGCACCTGCTCATGCACCTTCTCAAGCAGCGCCACCCTGGCATCCCCCTCCCCATCGTCCTCCTCATCCTGGCCATGCTGGTCCTCCTCCTCCCTCCTCCTCCTCCTCCTCCTCCTCCTCCTCGCCCTGGTGCTCCTCATCCTCCTCATCCTCCTCTTCCTCCTCCTCCTCCTCCTCCTTCCTCCTCCTCCTCCTCCCTCCTCCTCCCTCCCCCTCCTTTACCTCCCCCATGTCCTCCCACCCCCCCTCCTCCACCTGCTCCTGCGCCAGATCATGGATAAGACGCGGCAGGCTGCATGAATAAGACGGCGCCGATGCACCTACATCCACGGGCCATCGCCCCCCCGACTTCAAACTAGGCGGTGCCACGGACCGCTTCTGTCAAAGCCTCGCCCCCCCCCCTCTCGGGGGCGGATAACCCGCCCATCCCGCTAGCAGACCGTGGAGGCCTTGGATAAGGAATCCAGCGCCTGGAGCCTTGCGGAGATCCACTTGCGTGGAACGGGGGGGGGGGGGCAGAAGGTGTCCGCCCCCAATCATTGTGAGCTCTCTACCCTCCCTCCGTTTCCTCTCCTCCCCCCTACATCCTCCTCCTCCTGTCTCCCCCCCCCTCCCCCCCCTCATCCCCCCCGCCGTTCCTCCGCCTCAGATCCCCTGGGATGAGGGGGGGGGGGGGGCGGCAGGTGAGCGGTGCGGTTGCGGTTGCGCGCCCGCGGGCGGGTTGGAATGTGTCGCCCAGTTGCAGTTGCGGTTGCGCGCCCGCGGGCAGGTTGAAATGCGTCGCCCAGGTGCGGTCGCGCGCCCGCGGGCGGTGTGAACTGTGTCGCCTAGTTGCGGTTGCGGCTGCGCGCCCGCGGGCGGGTTGAAGTGCGTCGCCCAGTTGCGGTTGCGGTTGCGCGCCCGCAGGCGGGTTGAAATGTGTCGCCCAGGTGGGGTTGCGCGCCCGCGGGCGGGTCGAAATGCGTCGCCCATGTGCGGTTGCGGTTCCGCGCCCGCGGGCGGGTGAAATGTGTCGCCCAGCAGCGGTTGCAGTTGCGCGCCCGCGGGCGGGTCGAAATGCATCGCCCAGTTGCAGTTGCGGTTGCGCGCCCGCGGGCGGTTTGAAATGCGTCGCCCAGTTGCGGTTGCGGTTGCGCGCCCGCGGGCGGGTTGAAATGTGTCGCCCAATCGCGGTTGCGAACGCGCGCCCGCGGGCGGGTTGAAATGTGTCACTCAGGTGCGGTTGCGGTTGCGCGCCTGCGGGCAGGTTGACATGCGTCGCCCAGTTGCGGTTGCGCGCCCGCGGGCGGGTCGAAATGTGTCGCCCAGGTGCGGTTCCGGTTGCGCGCCCGCGGGCGGGTTGACATGTGTCGCCCAGTTGCGGTTGCTGCCCGCGGGCGGTTTGAAATGCGTCGTCCAGTTGCGGTTGCCTTTGCGCGCCCGCGGGCGGGTTGAAATGTGTCGCCCAATCGCGGTTGCGAACGCGCGCCCGCGGGCGGGTCGAAATGTGTCACTCAGGTGCGGTTGCGGTTGCGCGCCCGCGGGCGGGTTGAAATGCGTCGCCCAGTTGCGGTTGCGCGCCCGCGGGCGGGTCGAAATGTGTCGCCCAGGTGCGGTTGCGGTCGCGCGCCCGCGGGCGGTTTGAACTGCGTCGCCCAGTTGCAGTTGCGGTTGTGCGCCCGCGGGCGGGTTGAAATGTGTCGCCCAATCGCGGTTGCGGTCGCGCGCCCGCGGGCGGGTTGAAATGTGTCGCCCAGGTGCGGTTGCGCGCCCGCGAGCGGGTCGAAATGTGTCGCCCAGTTGCGGTTGCGCGCCCGCGGGCGGGTTGGAGTGCGTCGCCCAGGTGCGGTTGCGGTTGCGCGCACGCGGGCGGGTCGAAATGCGTCGCCCAGTTGCGTTTGCGCGCCCGCGGGCGATTTGAAATATGTTGCTCTATGCGCCCTCCTGACGTTCAGTCAGTCAATCAGTCAGTCTATCAAACAGTCAATCAGTCAGTCAATCAGCCAATCATGCACCGGCGGGCACGGAATTTCACTCGGTTCCACCGGGAGATCATCATGCTCATGAAATTTGCGTAGCGCTTCCATATCTGGGCGCGACAATCGAGCGCATCGTCGGGCGGGGCATCCATTGGCTCGCGCACTAGCATCGAGCATGGCACCGCAAGCGAACCGCTGATGAGACTCGTTTCCCTCGGAGGATTTACATCCGAAGCAAAGCGCACCGGGCCGAAGTT